TTGTGTCAGAGTGAATGGTGTTTGATGTGCTGGATGTGGAGTGACTGCTTCCAGACTGACCTGGAGTTTTCCCAGTAGTGTCGCCCACACTTGTAGTACTAACGTTAGTAGTGTTTGACATTTGAGTACCTGAAGTGGTGTCTATTCCCGGTAATATTGGTTTTGATACGGGTTGTGGCGCTCCTGTCCTCAATGTATTGACACCCGATTCCGCTGTTGAAGTGTTGGACACTTTTGTGGACATTGAACCCGCGGTTGGATTGTCGGCCTCATTATCATCCGTCTCCTCCTCTTCCTCCTCAATATGTTCGCCATTTTCATCAGTAATACTACTCGTAGAGGGATTGACGGATCTATTGTGTGTCTTAATTCGTCTTTTCGTAGCGCGTCTTTTCTTGGAGTTACCCGTAGTAGAGCTGATCCCAGAGGGACTATCGTTAGAGTGACTGGTGTTTGATGTGCTGGACGCGGAGTTACTGCTGCTCCCAGATTGACCATGGTCTTTCTCAGTAGCGGTCCCATCGATCGTAGTAGTATTGTTTGCAGTAATTTTTGTATTAGTGGTACTGTCTATTCCCGGTACTACTGGTTTGGATACTAGTTGTGGCGCTCCTGTCCTCACTGTATTGACACCCGATTCTGATGTTGAAGTTTTGGACATTTTTGTGGACATTGAACCCGGGGTTGGATTGTCTGCCTCGTCTTCCATGTCCTCCGATTCCTCCTCAATATGTTCGCCATTTTCATCAATTGTATGACTTGTAGAGGGATTGGTCAGCACCTGCTGACCAGTAGAACTGTTGACGGTTCGGCTCGATTTGGACCGTCTATTCTTAGAGCTCCTTCTCTCGGTCTTAGAGCTGATCTCAGAAGGACTAGTGTCAGAGTGTATGGTGTTTGATGTGCTCGACGTGGAGAGACTGTTGGTACCAGATTGACCCGATGCCTGGCCACTTGTCGATCCCGATGTCTGACCACCACTTGTTGAACCCGATGTCTTACCAGTTGTATGAATCGACGTCTCATCACTTGTATGGTCTGTTTTTTGGCCCTTTGTCTGACCACCAGTTGTCGCACCAGTTGTCGCGCCAGTTGTCAGGCCTGATGTGTTACTAGTGCTGGAGTTTGATGCGCTGGACGTTGAATGACTACTTCCAGATTGACCATCATTATTGCCAGTAGACAATGAACTCGAGGTTGAATTCTTGGCCACAGTATCTGTTTTATCGGATATCTCTTTAAGATGTCCGCCATTTTTATCGGAAGCGCTACTATTAGTAGAGCTGATCCCAGAGCTAGGTGTTTTGGAGCTAGAGCCAGTATTATCAGAATTACCATCATGTTTACTGTCCTGGTTTGTGTTGACAATTGAACTATTCGTGGCGTTCGAGGCAACAGATCCCGCGCCAGGAGTTCCATCAGGTTTTTTGAACAAACTCTTATAGCGATTGATAATTTCAAACAGTTTGTGATTAACTCGTTCTTTAGGGATGCCTTGAGATGGGTCATCATCACCAGTGTCTGGTCCACCCGCTGTTGAGTAGTCGGGAATATTTTAATTAAGATTATTTGTTTCATTAAGGTGTTTTATTTAGTTTTTGTTGTTAACAATACCTGCCGAAGTTAGATTTTCATCGGTCTCGTCCTCTTCTACCGAGGTCACATTGTGGATTATACATATAGCTAATATAATTATGCTATAATTTATTAAATATTTTACGGTCGCCATAGTTTAGTTATTAAACCAGAAACAGACATGTATTTAATTTTAAGAAATGTCTGTGCATGGTTTTATATTTCATTCATATATTGATGATTTAACATGTATATACTGTATAATTATAAATTACTAATTAATTGAGGTATTATTGGAAAACTAAATTTATATTAATTACGACAAGTATAATTTATTAAATGTACTATATTTTGATTTTAATTTAATACAATTTTTAACTTTATATTGTTTTAAAAATGATATAAGATATTGTGATTTGCTAATATTAAAAACAATAACTAAAAATAGTTATAATTAAATTATTACAAACTTTAATTTAAATATAACAACATAACAAATTAAATGATATTTTATTGCTTCCAATGATAACCTATGTATGAATTAAAAGATAAAATCTAACATAAATTAATTTTACAATAACTTAAAATAACAAATAAAATATTTTTAAATCAAACAAATGTCAGTAAATGAGCTTAAGAACGCACCAGGTGAAAAAACACAAACCGGAATATAACATAACAAATAATTAGTAAAATAAAAATATGGGGTATAAAACAATTTAAGGGCAATACTACAAATTTTGCAATTACAATATACACAAAACAATGTAAACAAATCATAAATAAATAACCATAGTCAATTAAATAAATAAATAGATTTTTGTAAAACAAACATATATTATAAAAATCACAAACAATTCACCACAAATATCACAATTACATAAAATTTACATAAACATGTTTGCCTAGCATCGGGGACAGTCAGGTAGATTGTCAAAGTACTCATCACCATCATCGCCACTGGAATCAACAAGGTTAATATGATTGTTTATAGGTGATCGCCAATAATCTAAATTATAACCCAAAGAATGACCAGGTTGGCTTAGTTTTAGTGTCTGCTCTGATTGCTTGTTATATCTATTGCCAGTTGTCTGGCCTGATATCTGGCCCGATGTCTGGCCCGATGTGTGGCCCGTTGTCTGATTGGTGGTCACATCCAAACCCACTTTTAGCATACTATCGGTGATCTCTTCATCAGATTTATTACTTTTAGTCTTTAAATGTCAAAGTAATTAAACCTAAAGACAATTAGATGAATGCAAAAATAACCATGCGTATACATACTTTAGCACGATTACTGCGCTTGGTAGTGTGACCACCAATTCTATCAGTAACAGTACGTTTAGGGCTTTTATCAGTAGTGGTGTAATGTTTACTGGTTCTGCCCGGGGTTGTACCGGTGCGGCCACTACGGGTGGTGGTAGTGGTACGCGGGGTATCGGTGCTGTTGGCACTACTGTCGTCTTCGGTAGTACCCAAAGCCGTGATATCGAAACCCACGTCCAGATTGAATTCAGCCTCTTCTGTGGTAGTAGTCATTTCATTCTTCACATTCTTCTGGTTTGCTTTGGTTTTACTACTTTTTGTATGACTGATAGTTACTGTCTCATCGGTGGTCACATCTAATCCAGATTTTAATATACTATCTTCTGGTTCATCAGTGGTTGTCTGCGGAGTAATAATACAAACAATTAAAAAACAATTTTAAAATTACTTAGCCCCATACTTACTTTACCATGATTGTTACCCTTGGTAGTGTGACCAGCGCTACTGGTTTTACCATCACTAGCTTTGCCGGTTTTTGTTATAATGTTGTTATTAGCTTTAACATTAGGGACAGATTTTTTGGTGGTGGTAGTGGTGGCCGGGGTGTCGGTGCTGTTGGCACTACTGTCGTCTTCAGTAGTACCCAAAGCCGTGATATCGAAACCCACGTCCAGATTGAATTCAGCCTCTTCTGTGGTACTAATCATTTCATTCGCACTTTTCTTGTTTGCATTGGTTTTGCCGCTATTTTTATGTTTAATAATCGCTGTCTCATCAGTGGTCACATCCAAACCAGCTTTTAGTATACTATCGCTAACCCCTTCTTCAGTTGTATGACCACTGATGTCGGTGTTGGCGATTCCAGACTGACCATGGTGCTTTAGATTGTTATTCGCCCCTAATCTGTTTATACTATTCATGTCTTGTGATTGTTTCTGTTTGCCATTTTCAACAGCTGCCACATTCATGGAGGGCATTGTCTTAGAGCTGGCCCCAGAGTGACTGACCATGGCTTTGCTGGTCATAGCGCGACTACTCTTAGAGCTGCTACTCGAGCTGCTACTAGAGCGACTGCTCATGGTCTTTCTGGTCATACTTCTAGTAGACTTTAAGCTACTTGTCTTTGAGTGACTCTTGGCTTGTTTAGACCCGAACTCGGGGTGACTTTTCTTAGAGTGAGTGATGGTTGATTTTTTGGAGCTCGAGTGACTACTTCCAGATTGACCATGGGATTTGCCAGTAGTGTCTGCGGCGGTAATATCTGGTGCAGGGCTTTTAACGCCCGCTTCGTTCCCGGTATCGGTACCTAAAATAGTGTCCGCAATGTTTATTACCATATATTTAAACCCGCATTAGTTTGTTGTCAAAAATATTATTCAAAACTTTTGATTAATATTTGCTTTATTTTGTTGTTAACAATACCTGTGCCCAACACCGGGTGTACTTTACCCGTTGACTTACCAGCAATTTCTGTCACATTTTGAATTATGAATATGGTTATTATGATAGCGCTGTAATATACTGTATATGTTAGTGTAGCCATAATTTGTTAAATGTCTATTTGCCTGGTTTTATATTTCATTCATAAAATTTTATATAAAGTTTACCATTTATAACATGTAGTATTATAGTAAAATTATAATTAAATTAATTAATATACATGTAAGAAATATTAATTATATAACTGTTTGATAAAGTAGTATACAGTATAAAATGATTGTTTTATTATTTTCTAATAATTTACATATCATCGGTATTAAAAGTATTACAATTTTTAATTTAATTATAAAAAACATAATAAATTAAATGATAATTAATTTATGAATTAAGAGAAGTTTTTCAACATAAATTAATTTTACAATAAATTAAAATCACAAATAAAAACACAGAATTGAGTCAATAGTTATTTGTCACATAAAATGTCAGTAAAAAATGAGTTTTAAAAACACACTTGATCAAAATACAAACCGGAATACAGTATTAACAAATAATAAGTAAAATAAAACACAGGATAAAAAAACATGAGTTTTAAGGGAAAGGCAATACAGTAACTTATTGTTAATATGTCCGAGATGTTAACATACATAAAACAAATCATAAACAACCATAGTCAGTAAAAAAATACACATTAAAAAGAATAAACAAATAAATTAATTTTTGTCAAACAAAAACACACAGATGAAAAACATAAAAAACAGTGTTTACCACAAATATCACGTATACATAAGCTTAACGTAGGCCTGTCTGGCCAGCGCCCACTGGCCACTCAGGGCACTCTTCACTTGAAATAGGGTGACCATCACATCGGGTACACTCACGGAACACTGTCGCAAGTATTCGTGAATCATCATGAGCGCCATCGCCATGGGAACCAACACCACCACTATGGTAGTCAATAGGGCCATCAAAAGTATCAGGGCCGACATCCCTATGACCACCATCATTTGGAAAGTGGACGGCTCCTGATCGTCGGCCAGCTTATTGCTGCGGCCAGTGTCGACGCGCACGCGCAGATTGCCCGGCATGGGTAGGTTGGCCAGCATTTTGCGGTTCATATGCGCCGTACAGAGAGTGAGATCCAGGTGTCGGTCCCGGCGCTCCTCGCATAGGGTCACCGCCCGTACGACCAGATTCTCTGTAATGCCCGACATGTCCGTAAGGGTCAGGTGCCGGACGGGTGTGCGCTGTAGTAGTGTCTGTATCGACGCGTCCGTTACCGACTGGAATGAGGACAGTGTCACCCGTTGTAGTGGTAGTGCGCTAAGAGATGCGATGCCGGTGTCGCCTATCAAGCCGTTACCTATGTATGCAAATAAAGTGTTATGGTTAATTTAAATATCTTATAAATTCATATAAATTAATCACTGATGGGTTAATTAAAAATTAGTTATGGATTAATTATGGATTAGAGACATAAATACATGTGATAAAGATGAAATATTAAAGACTGTAATCATCAAAACATAATTAATTATGTGATATTTAAATATTAACACATTGAACAAACTTATGGAATTAATTTAGTCGCCTATTAAAATTTATTTCATTAATAAAACTATTTTTGTAAATTTTCAATTCAAAAGTGTATTAATAATTTTATCATAGTTACTATAATAGTCATTATTAATAGCATATTTTTAATTATATTCATCACAACAATAATTAATAATGTAAACATTAATTAACAAGATAAAAATAAAGTTACACATACCGGTTAGGGTGAGATCCTCGAGCGCCGGACACATGACAGTTAGCCGATGCATGGATTTGTCGCTGAGCCTCAAATCCCACTCGTAATCGCCAACAATGGCCAGTCGTCTCAACTCAGGCGAGCGTTTTAACATGAGCTGAAACTGGCGCTCGTCCACCGCCGAGCGTTGATCGTAGCACCGAATCTGTTCCAACACCAGGCCGTGTAGGCACAGGTGACCGATGTCGGCCAACACACCGCCCGTCACACCGCCAGCGCCCACACCCTCGTCGTCGTCGTCGGTGTGATAGTGTAGCTCAAGCTCCCGGAGCTCTATCATGTGCTGTAGGGCGTGGAGTGGACTCAGGGCACCCGATAAGGTTAGTGAGCGCAGGTGCCTACCGGGGCCGGCGATCAGGTTGGCCAGGATTTGCTCCAATGACTCGTCGTTGGACAGATCGCCGCACACCAGCGACTCGATGCCGGCGCTTAAATGCTTGATAGACGCGCCCACCCATTGGTTGTCCGATATGTCGAGGTGTTTTAGTCGGTCGCACGCCGTGATAATCTTGGTCAGTTCCGGTTCGGTGAGTCGGCACTGGCGCAGCGTTAATGAGCTTAGGTTTGGGTACGCCTGGGTTAGCAGATGCCATCCATAGCCTTTAGTTTGTTATAAATAGTTTTAATTAGTTTATAATAATTTTGTTATCAATTATGATGTATGGTATATGAATGTATTCAGCATAATAAATATTTAATCAAAATTTATATGTGTAGTTTTGCTAGATTACAGTGTAGTCTAGACTCGATTAGACTACTTTATAGATTAAATGTATATTATGACAAATGCTAACATTGTTTAGCACGAGTAAACAATACTTAAAAATAAATTAAAATATGTTGTCATAAAAAATATAATTTTTCAATTTACATTTACCCACATTAATTATTTATGAATTAAGTACGGATTAGAGACTTAAATACATTTGGTAAAAATGAAATGTTAAAGACTGTAATAATCAAAACACGACTAATTTTGTGATATTTAAATATTAACAAACTGTACAGGGTGTATATGATACTTAGTACTATTTTATAGCATTAAGTCAATGCAACTTATACCATAAAAACTACTATAATTTCGAAAATATGGTTAATTTTGAAAGAATATTTAAGAAAACAAATTGGTGATTATACACGTATAAAGTATACTTAATTCATGTTTGAATACACCAGAGTTTGTTAAAGGACGAAGATTAATGTTAATTAATAAAATGCCAAAAATTTTATATAAAAAATTTTTAATTTTTTTAAATTTACGAAATTAATTATCATTGTAAGCATAATCGAAATTGATATAAATGATGTTCAGTAATTACGTTATTCACTATAAAAAACGTACATAACTGATACTAAATATCTTAATTTTGATATAACTTCCAGCGATTATGTCAGATTTGAGAAATTCCTTCGGATCTCGATTCTACTCATTCATACCTTTCTATTGATAATATGACATGGTTATTTATAAAATAAAAGATTTGGTTTTCAAAATTTTACCGATAAAAGTGGTCACTACGGCCAGACCCGAAATGATCTGGACATATAAAGTATATCACTCGACTACCTATTGAGTGTACTTTCATTTTATAATAATAATTCCCGGTTGCCCGCTATCACACGAATGGGCATCATCTTTTGTATTACAAATGCCTGATCTACAATAATTTTAAAATTGAGAATATGGTGTCTTAAAAAGCTGAATTTTTGTTTAATCAAGCTTCTTAGTGAATACAACAATAACTTTCAATAGCAGGAAAATAAAGTTTATTTAATACCCTATTAATATAAAATGTGTTGAATTTTCAGACTTATTAAATTTTCATATAAATTAAAATTAAAAGTTTTATTACATGCAATAGTACTAAATATAATATACACCCTGTATAAAGATATGGACTCCCCCACCGGAAGAGTTATTCAATTAATTAAATTATTTTTATAAAAATTTTAAGCTGGTAACTTTTATCTTAACAGAAACTATTCAATTTACAAAATATAATAAATTTAATATTAATTTAATTAATAATTACGAGAGAGAGAGAGAGAGAGAGAGAGAGAGAGAAAGA